AATTTTTTCAACAAACATTTTAAAAAGTTACAGTATCAAAATTATTTCTTATTTTAAGTAGAAAGACTATTAGAGCATTTAAAAGTGTCTTTAATGCTTGAGTGATTTTAATGCTTTTTATCAAATGTACTTATTTTCTCATGGTGACAAAAAAAATTATCTACGTGAAAATTATTTTACAAAATCAATTTCTGAGTGATCTGTGTAGGGTGAGATTTGTTATGTAATTTTAAATTTAGCGGCGGCAGAATACCTAAAACAAATATTGAGTAGGTAGGTATATAGTTGTAGAGCGTACAAGTAGATGGCGCTTGCATCTTTTACCGGCTACAGGTAATTTAACTCACTGTATTACCGATAATTGCTAGAAAAGGAAAGCAATAGAAGTTGGAGAAAGTGTCAACAGTTAGCGCTGTTAATGACCACGAATTCTGTGCAAGTTTCCTATCTATAGTACCTATCATTTATCTAGGATTATAATATACTGTTTAAATGAAAAATTGAAAAAAGGGGAATAACAAAGGTTCACTGGTCATCACGTTATTGGAAGTTTTCTAAACTAATCATGTTAATCCGATTACTCCGATCAGTAAGATCATTGCTGTTGTAGTTCGGCATTGAAACTGATTTATGTTAAAAAGCGTTTGTAAAGTATTTATTAATGTTGTAATGTTAAATTTTACGCCTAGGTCTCGATTACTTGTGTCTTTTATTCAAAACCGATTGCCACGAATCGGAAACATCAATTAAAGTAAAATCCAAATGCAATGATTAGTGATCCATCTGATCTCAAATCAGAGCTTTGCACACTCTTTTTACGTACAAAGTACAAATCAACAAAGTTAAAATTTCAAATCCACAAAGGTAACCTAACCTAAAATGGGTAGTTTTTCTAAAACCCTAAATTCTTTTTTAAAGAAAAAATCTATAAAATACGGTTTGCCGTTTCTTTTAGTGGTTCTAGGAGGTTCTTTCGGTTTGAAGGAATTTGCCCAGTTACGGTAAATATACCTTCATATATATCTAATCTTATATATTTTTATTAAAAATTGTGTATGCATATTTTTAGTTATCAATTCTCGAAGGTGTCAGTTGTGAGGCCCGAGGAAATGAAGAAGTATGGTATCGAAATGAAAAAACCTGGCGAAGTAACTATAGACACTGAGTTTGAGAAAGTTAAGAAGCTCGATATAGATAACTGGGAGCAAGTCAGGGGTCCCAGACCCTGGGAAGAGAATATTAATTAGACTTTGTAGTGTAAGTTGTGAAAGTAGTACAGAACTGTGATATTTGTAATTCTTACGAAAATAAACACGTTTATTTTAAATTTGTTAGTGATTTTTTCAGTGTTGTGAAATCAGTTCAGGAAGTGAAACGACTGGTGGATATAGATATATTTTTTTATTAATTTCTTATAAAAAATATACCAAACAAACAATAAAGATCTGAGTGTGTAGTAAACAGTGAATTGGGAACAAAAACCACAAATGATGAGTTATTTTAGGTGAAAAGTTACTATTGCGTTACGACATACCAAACAAATATCATACTCGCCCTTCCATTAAATTTAAGGCAAAAAATAGTCATTTGAAATATATCGCTAAAATTTAAAAGGCGTTCTCTACTTCAGCAATTTATCGGGGAGTATGACTATTTTATAGTAATTTCCATTGCTTTAATACTGGTATTATTTTCATTTCCGTCTAACTGGAAACATTTAAATTTAGGCAATTGAGCAACATTTTAAAAAAAAATCGGTGTGTTTTGATAAATCTTCCAGCATGTATATATCACACTGCTATTTAAATCTTCCAGTTATATAGAATTTAAACCGAGAACAGATAAAAATCGCACTCTCAAATATACAAATAAAAATACCAATACTTTTTCAATTTCGACAAAAAAAAAACTGCTTAGTCCGGAAACCACTCAAATTTTTGATATATTTGTCCCTTTTTTTGCAAATTATCCACCTAATCGAAAGCAATGTGTCCTCGAGACATCGCAAACTCAAAAATGCCACCGCTGCGTCTACAGTTAGCTTAAGTCTATCTATCAAGGGAAAAACACAAATCGTACGTCTAGCCAGGTACAAATAAACAACAAAAAAAAAATGGGGGTAAACTATTCACTGCCCTCGTCAAACGACTGTTAAAAATATCGAAGGAGACTTATCGCTAATGTTAGTGATCACTGTACAATTCGAGATTAAATTGCTTATGTCCCCCTCCGAAGACTGAATCGTAAATACTTTCAGATCTTTGATATACCACCTAAATACGTACAATATTAAATATATAGCACAAAGTTGATACCTACTGGCCGAGTAAATTGTTAGAAAACGATCAATGCTAACTAAACGTAAAAAAAATTGTTGTAACGTCAGTCCTAAGATTCCTGAAAGCTTGCGCTGGGAGAACTGGCCTAGTCTTGGGTAAATACTAATAAATTTAGAATTAAACACCCGTTGCGAGGATTCGTAATAAAACGTTCATCCCACTTCTGATCCGAAGCGCCAACTCTGAGTTTTAGATTCGATGCTGCTAAAAGCATCGAATGGCAACTTGTGACCTTCACGACTGTTAAAAATGCAACAGAACCCATAGGCGGGCAAATACAAATGAAAGAAATGGCAATGCAAACCGTTTCAGTCATGAAAATCGCGTTTTTTTTAAAAGATACGCTACAAATACGATATTTCCCACATAAAAATTCATATAATGAATTATATTTATGTACATCGAATATCGAATAAAACTGAAGGTCCAGCACGAAAAATCGTACACTGCTGATCCCGCTTCTGATCGGAAGAGCCAACTTTGACTTTTAGATTTGATGCTGCTAAAAGCATCGAATGCCCACTTCCGACACAGAATGACCATTAAAAATGCAACAGAACCCTTAGGCGGACTAATACAAATGGGAAAAAATAGCGAAGCAAGCCGTTTCAATCATGAAAATCGCGTTTTTAAAAAAATATGCTACAAAAACGATATTTCCCATGTAAAACTTCATATAATGCATTTTATTTTTATATAAATGTACATCGAATATCGAATAAACTGAAGGTCCAACACGAGAAATCGTGCAATGCTGATCCCGCTTCTGATCGGAACAGCCATCTTTGACTTTTAGATTCGATGCTGCTAAAAGCATCGAATGCCAACTTCTGACATAGAACGTCCGTTAAAAATGCAACAGAACCCATAGGCGGACTAATATAAATGGGAAAAAATAGCGAAGCAAACTGTTTGTCATGAAAATCGCGTTATTTTAAAAAATATGCTGCAAAAACGATATTTCCCACGCAAAAGTTCATATAATGAATTTTATTTTTACACATCGAATATCGAATAAATTGAAGGCCCAACACGAGAAATCGTGCAATGCTGATCCCGCTTCTGATCGGAAGAGCCAACTTCGACTTTTAAGTTCAACGCTGCTAAAAACAGACTTCAGACGTGGGCTGTTAAAAATGCAACAAAACCAAAAACTGGCCGGTCAAAAAAATTAAAATAATACAATTAAACCGGTTGAAGTTACGAAAATCATCTTGTACACAATATGAGACAGAAACGATGATATTTCCCAAGTAAAAAATTCTTATAATGAATTTATTTTTACACACAGATCAAGTAGAACCAACACCAGAAATCGTAAAACGTTGATCCCACTTCTGATCCGAAACGTTAACTTTGATTTTTGGTGCTAAGAGGGATCGAAGGGATTAACTGCCAAACTACTGACACTTGACTGTTAAAAATGCACCAAAACCTACAACCTCGCTAATTGTTGGTGAAAACAAATTAGTCTTCGCTGAAAACTCCTTAATAGTCATGAGAATGATTTTTGTACATATGATACGTTCTTATAACGATTTCCATTTTTGTACACATACACATCGAGTAAAACCGAAGACCCAACAACGAGAAATCGTGAAACGATCCCACTTCTGATCAGAAGCGCCGACTTTGACCTTAAACCTTTCCGCTGCTAAAAACGCCATGGAAAGGGATCGGATGCCAACATCTGACGTAACGGAACCCACAAGCTGGTTGATAACGGTGAGAAAAAAAAATTACTTGCAATTAAAACAATTTAATAGTCATGAAAATCGTTTTGTACAAAAACGACAACGGTATTCCCCATTTTTATACACACACACTCACACGCTGAATAAAACTAATAAATAAATATTTAAATATAATTCCTAAGTCAAATAATTTACGTTAGAAATGGTTACGGGTCAATTTTTTATGTACACTGAAAATGTTTTGCGCTTAATTATATAAAAAAAAAAAAAATGTACGAGTACGGAGTGAAATTCCTAACTTTTTACAGATCAATCGTAAACTTTCCAAGATCTAAAAGAAATGGAGATCAAAGCCCGTCAACGATATATGTACACGCACTACCCCCTTTATACACTTCCCGTTTCCGAAAAACTGCGTCCTTTCGGAAGTCGGAGATATAAGCAATTTAACCGCCGTCCGAGTAATTCCTCACACGTCTTTCCACAATTCAATAACTACGACGGGCGCAAAGACCTGCGCCGCTCGTTCCTACGGTAAAAAATACTATCCTCCCCGTTCGAACACCCCCTCTAACTACACTAAGAGATGGAGGCGAAGAAATCCTGCAGCTGCCTCACCGTCGACCTGTCCAAGAGGCAGAGGTCGAAATCGAAGGTGTGGGCCGACACCTCGTAACGCCCCGTCTCGGCGATCAGCTGCACCACCTTCTGCAGGTCCGAGTTGTCCTTCAGGCCCATTATCTTGTGCTGGAGGTCGCGCAGCATGCCCATGTAGTCTTCCGCCTGCTCAAAAAAAGCTACTTTAAAATAAAATCGGGAGAAAAAAAATTTTAACGTTTTTATCCCACTTCTGATTTGACGCCCCACGTTGGGCGCCGAAAAAATGGTAAAAGCAAGGGGAAGGGTCATTTTATTGTTTTAAATACAGTAGATTCACGGAATTATCTTCTACCTGCACCAAGATTTGTTGCGATCCTCGTCCAAGACAAGGAATTACACCAGCAGTATCTATAGATCAAATAAGGCAGTTAAATGGCGTACGCCTCCACCTACCTCATTTTTAGGCAAAGGATTTGCGTCCTCGGTGCTGGAAACCTTCCGCTCGTCGTCCGAATTGTTGTTCTCCTCCTCTTTCAACACCTTCTCCGGGGGCTGCTCCGCCTCCGGGTGGGTCTGGGGGCTCTTCCGTTTCCTCCTCCTCTCGTGATCCCTGTCGCTCTTCTTATCCTACAAAACAAACGGTTTATTAATAACGACGACAAAACCACCGAAACTTCTCCGTTACCTTCTTTTTCTCCTTCTTGTCCTTCTTCTTCGACGACTCCTCCTTCTTCTTCTCCGGCTCGGCCTTCTTCACGGGCTCCGGCGGCGGCTCGGACGGCACCCTCTGCGGGGAAGACTCCCGGCTGCTAACTTTGAGGGAATCGTCCGAGATCTCCTCCTCCTTGTACGACAAGTTGTTCGTCGACTTCTCTTTGGGCTCGACCTGGTTGGGCGTCGAGGGGGGTTCGCTCTTCGGGCTGCCGAACAGGTTGCTCTTGTCCGTGTCTCGACTGGAGGAGACCGGCGGGGGCTCTTTCGGTTCTTCCTTGACCGGCGGGGCCGCTACCGGGGGCGGTTTTTCCGATTTCTTCTCCGTCTTAGACGAGTACTTGTCCTCGCGCTTCTCCTTCCTGTCTTTCTTCTTGTGTTTGTGTTTCTGTTTGTCCTCCGACTTGTCCGAACGGGGCTTCTCCTCGTCTTTGGGCTCCTTGAGGGATTCTTTGGATTTTTCCTTCTTCTCGCTCTGAAAAACCAAAAAAAGCCATCAGCGACGACCAAATTAAATTCAGCCCCGTACCTTTTGTTGAAGCTGCGTAGCTGCGACGTTGACGGGGGCCGGATTGGCCTCCTCCTTCAAGCTGGCGCTGGACGAGTCCTTGCTGGACTTGCTTTCCCTGCTCTTGTGTTCCTTGTGCTCCTTGTCCTTGTCTCGGTCTTTGTGCTTGCTCTCCTTGTGCTCTCTCTTCTCCTTTTTGTTCTTTTTCTCCTCTTTCCTCTCCTTGTCTTTTCTTTCATCTTTGGACTGCTCCTTCTCCTTGGAACTGCTGTGCTTTTGAGGCGGAGGGCTTGGCGGCCTCTTCGGCGATCTACGATTGAACATTCAGTAATAAAACAGCAGAACCTCGCTTATTTCAACACAAAGTATTTCAGAAATCCAGACTAAAAATGGCTAAATCTTACAATCCGAAGTAAAATTCATTATTTTATATTACAACAAAGTTTCGATATTCGTAGAAATTAAATGTCATCAATATTCAATGCCTACTGGCATAAAGCATTACTTTGTACCTACTGGAGTAAGTTGCTCTGTCAGATATAACCTACAAAGTATATGACAGCTTAAATGTCATTGCTAGTCGATGCCTACAAAAACAAAGTTTTACTTTGAAGCTACTGACTAGAGTAGGTTGCTCTGTAAGATATAACCTACAAAATATATGACAGCTTACATGTCATTGGTAGTCAATGCCTACTGAAACAAAGTTTAACTTTGTACCAACTGACCTTTATTTGTAACAGTACACTTTTTATTGATTAATTTCAATTATTTGGACGTTTGTAAATGTTTTTGTGTATTTATCATAAATTTGAAACAAAAAATATATTTCTTTCCAAGACGGTACAATAATGGCTGTAAATAGCGATTCGTACATCAGAAATAAGTAGTCAATTTTAAAGTTAACTTGCCTAAAACGATTTATACAGTAAATCTATCATGCGGTCCTTTTGGGATGCGAAGTGGTCGATAACTTTCTCGTTGAAGTCTTTTATGTTCCTTATAAACAATTTTTCGATGCTGAGCACGGCTAAGTCGCTCAACCTTCCCTGACCCATCGTATTTCTTAAAAACGCCACTGATCTCCTTAAAGTCGAAAAACAACGTTCACTTTCCGCCGTCGGCATAGGGAGGGTACACAATATTTGCAAAAGTTTCACGCTCTCGGAAAAAGTAACACTCAAGTTATTGTTGAAGAACATGCGTAGCATAGCTAGGGCGCCTTCGCTGTTATAAAAATCTTCCGTGCCGTATAAAACCTCCAGTTCGGTTTTGAGCTTTACGTAGCTGACGGCTGGGTACTCCGTTTTAACTAACTTGTAGATGTCTTGCGGAAAGGCTTTTTTATAGTCTTTGAATCGGTCCGCGTGAAATAACTGCAACACTATTAAGTGGCTGTTGAAGCCGAACCTCTGTTTAACCTCGGCCATTATCATGTCGCATATTTCTAGGGAAATTCTACGTTTTGAAACGCCGGTTTTACTTTTCTCGTGTTCTCGAGGCGGTTTGTCTACGTAGTTATTTAAAATCTTATTCCTAATTTTCTCAATGTTGGTATTAAAATTGATGATACACTTGTTCACCGTTACAATGTCAAGATCACGTTTTTGTAACTGACTGGACAGTACGTCACAGTGAGGCAACACCAAACGAAAAAAATTTAACCAGTACAGGAAATCCTCGCTTCCTAAGCACTTTTTTAAACTAACAGCTTGGCTTATTGTGTCGTTTCTCGTTTCACTGCGAATAATTTGTCCTAAACACTCCACTAATTCCGTCTGGTAGGTATAAACAGTCTCCACACATTCTGTATCGAAATTCCAACACACTGGCACCGTTTTGACCACCTCATCCAACACAGCTATTCTTCTTGGCGATTTCTCAAAGAACAAGGAGAAGCTATGCAAATTAGCAAAGAATATTCGAACACCTCTATCCTGACTCGCTACTTTCTGTAAAATTAAATTTAGTCGGTGGGCATAGCAGTGAATAAAATTCGCCGATGGGTAATACTTTTTAATTTTAGTTTGAACACCTCCAAATATGCCACTCTTCACCGCTGCTCTGTCGTAGCTTTGGGCAACCAGTTTTTGAGGGCACTCGTTGATTTTGAGACATTCCAGTTCTTTTAAAATTACTTCCGTCAAGTGTTGCGAAGACGTACCCCGAGGCTTAACAAATTTCCAAAATCTCTCGGATAACACACCATTTAGAATGTATCTGAATATAAAAATTAACTGCGTTTTATTAGAGCCGTCAGTGATTTCATCTACTTGGAGCGCGATAAAGTCGGTCTGATTAATTTCCGATTTTATTTCTTCGTGGATAACCACAAGCATGGAATCTAACAGTTCGTTTTGAATTACGTTCCAGGCTCCTTTGAAAACGGTACTGTTTTCCAAATGCTCCTTAAAAATTACATCCAGTTCCGATATAAAATTTATAAGACCTTGAAATGTCCCTGGATTATCAGAACTCTCGCTTTCTTCTAACACAAAAATTCCGCAGAATAGTACACAGTCTATTATTTTGTTTAAAATGTACCTATTCTTGAATACGTTCTCGTTGTAAGTTTTTACGGTTTTTCTATACGCACTATCCAACTGCAACTTAATGTCGACTTTTCCAAGAGTGGCTAGATTGCAACAACTACTCATGTGAGCCGATGAGAGAGAATGTTTATGCACCTTTATTTTCAAATGTTTCAAATCAGTTACGCCTATTTTACACCACACTGGATCCTCGTTGCCAAACAACAGGCATGGAAAACAAAAAAATGCATTTCGTACCTCACATCCGCAAATCCATTCGGACAAATTGTACATGGAATCCCGAAAGTACCTATTAACCTTTGAGGACGTTTGTTTAATTGCCATCTTGGGCTTTGGGCGACCACCATCTTTGAACTTTACCAAGTCTTCCGTTGTAAATTTGTTTTCACTTTTTAGTTTGAAAATATTTTGAACAACACTCATGTTTGTTGATGTTTGTGCACTCCAGAAAACATTCGCGAGGTATCAAATAACAGGTCCCTACACTGAAACACAGCAACGTGATGTGTACTGCGCATAAATAACAAACAAAGCAAGCAAAGATCGGCAACAGATCTTGTAGGCTTCGTGCCGATTCGTAACACAAGATGGACTGGGGACAATGACCCACTTCTTATTTTCTTTCTCTTTTTAATAGTTTTTTTATGTAAATATTAAAAATTGACATGTGTCAAACCGCCATTTGGGGGCAAACGCGAAAAAGTTAGTTATTCTAGGGACTTTTCGTAAAATCAAGTGCAGCAACTGATGTTCCCATTTGTCCCAAAATGGCGTTTTGACATACGTCAATTTGTGCTATTTATATAAAAAAAAGGGCACAAAAATTTATTTAATGTGGTATTTCAGACGAAAATATTGGATTAATGCGTAATAACCTATCAAAAAATGTGAAAATTAAATAATTGATTATTTAGATTTATATTTCAAGGTTGGAAATTACCTCAAAATGGCAGTTGTTTGCGGTACTTAATTGATATCTAGGGACTTTAATTTTCAGATGCCTACATGTTTAAAAATATGAACTACAGGCAATTTCTAGCAAGACTACAAGCCACCACTGGTTGTAAAACAAAAAATATTTTTGCACCTGTCAAGTATATTGGATGCACAGAAGTTTAGTTTAATTAAATAGATTTAACGTAATGCATGATTATATGTACTTAATTATCGCATAATTGTGAAATATATTTTTCAAAATTAACACTTCATTTATTTATTATACCGAGTGAGTAAAATAAAACCACCTAATCAGTTCTTGTAAAATTACTGTGCAAATGTATTATTACACTTGCAATCGAAATTATTTACTGTGCAAATACAATTAAAATACTGAGCATTTAATTATAAACAGAAAATACACACTTGCTTAAAATGGAGTGGTAGTTCATATCTTGGTAATCGGAAATCACAAAGAAGCGGATGATGGATTCGTCTCACGAAAAACCGAAAAAGTTTTGGCGGATTTTGAAGCACGAAAGTGGGAAAATACTTCAAGACGACCTTCGGAAAATGATTCTCCTGCGACGGGATTATCTAGCAAGGTGTAGGCTACTTTGAAAAATAGTTTTATGGGCTCGCAGAGAATTTCTGACTTCGACGTGACTTTCAGGAGCAAAAAAGAGCAAAATACAGGGTAATTTTTACGATTTTTATAGTTTTACAAAACTTGGAAGAAAAGGATGGCCCACCAGAAAAAATAAGGAGATGTGAGATAAATAATCGAGATGTGAGGAAAACCTTCGTAACTTTTTAATGGATGGACCGATTTATACAAACCAAATATTGACGAAAGACAAAAATGTGCCGCATTTATCGTGACACGAACGAACGCTGTAACTTTAAAACTGTAAAAAGACTACAAAGAAAAGACACATTTAACACATAGAGTCCAACACCGTAACCTTCGAAATGACTGAAAAACAATTGAAAATGCACCCGTTATTAACGAAATCAATTTTTTCCTTACCTTTTGGGGCTGGGGCTTCTCGGTCTGGAACCCGGCGACTTCTCCCTCTCCTTATCCTTCTTCGAGCTCTTCTCCTTCGCCCTGTCCCTGTCCTTACTCTTCTCCTCCTTCGCTTTCTTCTTCTCCTCCTTCTTCTTCTCGGAACCGTCGGAAGACTTGTCCTTCTCCTTGGGCTTCTCCTTCTCCTTGTACGGGTTTTTTATCTTCACTTTATCCTTATCGACCGCTGAAATAAAACGATTAAAATAACGTCTTCGGAATACCGCACCGACTCACGTTTGTCTAATTTCGGAAAATTCTTAGGAACCTCCTTGGGTTTTGAGGGCTCGGGCGCCTTGCTGGTGGTTTTGGTGATGGGGGTGCCAAACAGGTTGAGGAAGTCCGTGGTTCTCGGCTCCTCGGGCTTGGTCTTGTGCTTCTTGGGCAGCTCAGCACCGCCTAGTTTCGGTTTGCTGGTCATTTGGTTTTTCTCATCGATCGTCTTGCCGTCGCCGATATCTTGGGTCGAGCCCAGTGATCCCACCTGAAAGGGGGTATGGTGGTGCTTAGGAGGTGTTTGGGGCATTTTAGGGGCCCGACATTTTCTGTCTCAAGTACTTTTAGTGTGTAATTGACGTTTTATGAACTAAATTGCTAAACGAATGCTTAATATATTCAAGTCTTTTAAATTCGATTGTGCAGTGCTTTAAACCTTTCCAGCGTAAAACGTCAATTTAAGCTCAAGTTGTTTGCGTAATTAAAAGATCTGAATGAGAAATATTTTAATTAGAACCAGTCTAAACTGGTATAGATCAGCAAAAGCACGGAATCTTCAGTAAACTACTACAGCTGTACTTATCCAGTGTCAACTGGCAAAACAATACAAAAAAGTGACATAATACATCAAGTATTACAAGTGGGCTCAATAAAGAACTTTGTGGGACACTTTCAATAATTTTTTTTTATTGTGTACTTACTATTCCTCCTCCTTTCAGTAGTTTGCTTCGGAATTCCTCAGACGGCGAGTGGAAAACAAACTTTTCTTTCTGTACGTTATGAATCGGGAGCCCTTTAGGTTGGAGCACGAGGTCATAATTGAACCTAATCTTCTTAGGTTCCTGGTTGTTCCTCAGGTAGATTTCTATAGGTAAATTGAAACCTGCGTACCCCGAAGTCCGTAACGAATAAGGAGGTTCCTTCACAACTAAAAATAAACGAACTGTACAAGTAGCTCTCTTTGGGTAAACTGCTAAGTACCTCTTTTAGGTTTAGGGAAAGTTTCGTGCAAGTGGAAAACTACTTTTTCAACGTAATAGTGGATCTCTGCTCCGTTGCAGCCCTTTACGTAGACCTCCCAATCGTGGGTGAACCCTTCCGGAGTGATTTTCGTTCTCAGAGAGGCATTGTGCCCGATTTCCAGGTTTATTGTTATGGACATGTTTCACTTAAACACATTCCAGTTTGATCAAGAACATCTTTCATGCTATTCTCCTTCATTAAGAATTCGTCAAGTAATATAATTTAATATTAACCTAATTTTAGATTTTCTCTACATGAGGTAAGAGGCTTGCACTGCTGCTTGTATCTAGTTCCTAATGACTTTTCACAAATTAGGATACGTGGGACCTGACTGAATAACTGATTTATAATAAGTTTTTTGAGATCATAACATTTTTATTTTTATAAACAAACGCGATATTTATCAATAATCAGTCAGGTTTGACACTAATTTGCAAAGAGAAATAAACCTTAATTCCCTAGACTCTCAACTACAGTTTCCTGTAATCACTCCACAGACAAGCCAGTGTCTTATTAACTTTTTGGAACTAAAACTGCCTTCTACTAAGCTGTAAGGACAAACTTATTACTTTCATTACTCGATCAAATGATTCTATTCAATATCATTTCTACCTCATTCAGTAGATCTTCAATGTCCAGCTCCACCTCTTTCTAGGCGTCACCGTGCGGCAATCAGTGGATAATCTAGGTCCCTGTAAAAGCACAGCGTGGCGTTATGCGCCACCTTCCGTTGATGAACTGTAATGAGTATTGATTCTTTTCTGTTTGGAAGGTGGGACGCCTGCAAGTCATTGTTTTGTTTGCCCAGCCTGTGCGGGCGTCTCAACTTTTCAAATATAGATCGCGCGAAACTACAATGACTTTATTTCCATGTAATAAAAGAATTATAACAGTATTTGATCTTGTTCTAATACTGTCTCAATATCCTTAAAAGGGATATTTATGTAAAGTATAGCATTTTTCAGGTAACTCTCACACAAAAGGCAAATAAATATATTTGCAAATTTGTCTTAAATTTTGGCGGGTAAAAGCGCCACCTTGAAATATAAAATGGCAATAGAAAATATGTTTGTACGCTTTCGGATGAGATGGAGCTAATATTTTCATAATAGAAAAAAGGTCAGTAAAGTTTGAATTAATAACAATTATCGGTGTAAATTCCAAATTTATAAACAAAATATGATCGTACGCTTCGCCTGTGTCAATGAAGTACAAAATTCCAACGCCTGTTTAGACGCCGACATCTGACTTGGCGTTTGTCTTTTTGTTAGGCAGCATTTTTTTTTATTCATGGCAATCTTTTAGATATATTGCTTCATTTGAATTTAGCGACAGTGTTCCATTTAGATTTTAGGAAAATTATGGATTACCCTTCAAAAATGGTGGAGAGCAAGCAAGTACGAGTGGACAACTGGGGGATCTTCTTCCTCCAACGCCTCCAGGTGTTCTTTAGCAAAACTGATTACTGTGATTTAACTTTACAATTTGAGGGAAATGTCCAGCTAAAAGTACATCGGCTTGTCATGTGTGCCTGTACAGAATATTTCACTTATTTGGAACAGTCGTGCCCAGCTCTAGAAGAGAACACTATAATGATGCCATCAGACCTCCAGGCAGACGTGATTGTCCCCATTGTTAATTTCATGTATACGGGTAAGTTGATTTGAAATTAAACTGTGATCTATCTAGTTGACTGTGACCGATGTATTTCTAGGCATGCTAGAATTTCACATGTCAATATTTGATAGACTATATAAAGCCGCAGAGTTGATGAACATAACCGTCCTAACAAAATTACTGGACGCCCAGAAGGTCCATCCGAATTATAAATCATTGAAGAAAAAGCCCGAATCGCCACATATATGGAATTTACAGGGGCCGAAGGTATCCCCTAAAGTACCAAAAACTCCAGAATTACCACCTACTCTACCAGGCAGAAAATTACCCGTTTGGAAAAGGAAGAATGTTCCTTCGGTACCCATGCAACATCCCACGTCGACGTTGCAGTTTTCAGAACATAGATTTCCTCAAGATCCCCTATCAGTGCCTGACAGTACCCCGAAGCCTACGAGGTTCGAGTGGCCAGATGACGACTTGCCTCAAATCAGTTTGATGGATACTAGTTTCGAAGAGATCTCGTACACCAGTAAGCCGTTGTTAACGCAAGAAGAGGAAATCAGAGCTAGTACGTCTTTTGACGACAGGAGAAGCGCTAGTAGTGACCAAAATAAAGGTAAACGTTTCTTTATTCATAAAATTTTGGCTTTGTCACACTTTAGCATAATTTTTAGTAAACTTAGGTTGAGTTAGGTTAGGTAAGTTAAGGTTAGGATAGGCTAGATTAGGTGTTCTTTAGTAAGGTGCTAAGGTTCGTTTTTCATTTGGAAAATGTTATTTTTGACGCCCTAAAGTGTTGCAGAGCCAAAATTTTAACACTTGTTATTTTTTACGCACAAGATGACGAATACAGCGACTTTTCTCAACAAAAGAGAAAGTTGGATCAGAGCACCGAAAAATCGTCTCCGAAAAGAGTGAAGTTGAACGACAAAGAAAATAAAGAAGCGACAATAAGCATAAAAAGTAGTAACGGTGCGGATTTGGATCACACAAAGATAGTATCCGAGATACTAAAGAAATATCCGCAGTTAGTCAAAAAGAACAAGAATATACGGCTGAAAATCATGGCGAGCGGGAATAAAACCGTCGTGGAGCAAACGGTTCACGCTCCCGTTAAAACCCCTAAAATGAAAGTCCAGGTAAGGCGACGCTTTTATTTCTCGAACTTTTTCCCAATTCTCGACTTCTAGGTGGAGGCCGCCAAATCTAAAGTCGTGAAACCGGCCCAGAAGCCCAAATTGGAGAAACGCCCTGCCTCTGAAGAAGGCCCCTGGGTCTGCAACAAATGCGACGAAACGGGAGAGTCCACGCAAGAGTTCGTGTTGTATTACCTCTACCGCAAGCACATGACGGATGTGCACAATGAGACCTTCGACGCTCGCCTTTGCAAGTACTGCGGCCAGTGGTGCGGCAAACATAACCTGATGATGTACCACTTGTACACGAAACACGGCCTGAAACCCCCGACCACCTATAATTTCCCGAAATGCGACCAGTGCCCGTATATAGGTAAGTTTAGTGGGTATTTGTCCAATCTGCGGCAGCAGCATTTTGTCTACATTCACCGTACATCAATAGCATGTTTGCCACATCACAATTACTACAATTATGCACGTTGTAATAAAATAGTGACCGTTAATAGAAATAATACTCGATTACTAGTGATTTAATCGTTATAAAACACTTTTCTCAGCCCTGTCGGCTCAGAAGCTGACGCAACACAAGCTGCACCACGACCCGGACGAAATGCAGTGCGTCGACTGTCACCTAGCCTTCACGTCGAAACAGACCCTGACCTCGCACGTCCAGATAACGGGTCACCTGAACCGCAACGGTAACACCAGCCACGATTGCCAGTACTGCACGAAACGTCTTCAGTCCGCCATCAATTTATTCTCGCACATCAAGAATTCCCACCTGAAGGAGGCCAAGAGGGACGGGATAGTTATCCTGGACGAGGCGGACGACGTAGAAAACGAAATCGAGGAGGAGGAGGTCGCCGTGCCGAAAGACAAGGTAAGCGACGTTTCCGATGTTCGTTTTTTGTTACGTAATTTGTCGTTTTTGTAAACCAGGTGAAGATAATATCGAACGTTAAGGTTCCCGTTCGTTCCGAGCAGAACAACGCTAGCACCCAGCAGGTGGCTCAGATGGAAGCTAGCTCGGAAGCCGAGGCGCTCAGCAACGTAGCCAGCGGTATCGCGACCAGCTTGGGCCTGGTGGACATCGTCGTTCTAGACGACAACCAACAGTACATCCTCCAGCAGCAAGAAGACCACACCGGCCAACCGGAATTTATCATACCGGACCTCACCACGGGCGAGAATCACTTCGCCGGGCAGGTCATTACGACCCAACACAGCGCGGTACTTCCGCAAAGTACTAGAGTTGATTTTAGCCCCCGAACTCCTTTAATTCCGAACGTTTCAGGCATGTTGCAGTCTACGGGTCCCGACATCAGCTCGACGGACGAGTTAGTGATGGTCCTGACGGATCACGATTACCAGGACGAGCAGGAGGGCTCGACGACGGACAATTCGAATATAGTCGTGTTGTACAGCCATCCCGTCGACGGGCAGCAAGGCCAGTTCATAACGTCTCAGGTAAATGTGTGACGATAAGTCGCGGGATCGTTTTATACCGTCGATTTCAACTTTCAGGGCAATCTCTTGGTGAATTCTCAAACGGGCATGCTGGAGATTCGGAACGAAGCGATTACCACGACGGCGACTAACCAGATGGTCGTCAACACCGTGGATACCGCGGAATCCATCGAATCGATACAGAGGTAAACGGCAAAGCCTCGTACCGTACGTTTTTTTAACCGTTCTTTTTTCAGGGAAATTCAAAGCCATAATATGAAGCAGGAGCCGTACTACGAGGAAGAAACGAAAGCAAACGCAGCCCCGGTTCCCCAACCCGACGTGGAACCAACGGAATCGCAACAACTGCCGCAGAGCGAGGAAACGGAACCGACGGTGGTCAGAAACGTTGACCGAGGTACCACCACCGAAAATCTACCAGTAGATGGCTACCAAGAGGAGGAAACACCTACCGAGCCCGTCGAAGAACGAGAGGAAGCGCCTAAGGAAGTGGAGAAGGAAAGTAACGAAGCGACTGAAGAACCTGCTAATACCGAAGGGGAAACCGCGGTTAAAGAACCGGAAAACAGCGATAACGTTGACGCTGCGACTGTTGCTTTGGAAGAACCCATGGAAACCGAGGAAATACCACAACCGGTCCCTGAGGATAGCTCCGATGACAAGCAATCGCCTGATCAGGTAAAAATTTAAAAAATTTTACAAATGTTCGGTTTTACATCTCTTTTTTAGGATTCCGTTCAGGAAGCGGCCGCCGAAGAACCAGAACCGGAAGAAACTCAAGCGCCGCCTCAAGAAATCAACGCCACGGGTGATACGGAGGGTACCGAAGGCATAGATGTCCCTCCCACAGAGAAGAGGGATCGCGTGGGGGTCGACTCAATGTGTGAACCGACGGAACATTTCGTTTTCAACGACCCGAGTAAAGTGAGCTTCGAGGAGTCTGACGGAAACCCGGACACGTGTGTAGAGGTGAGCGTTTCGGAAGCGATGGAGGTTGACGGCAAGATGGAAGATCCGCTACGGGACGAACGAGAGGAAGTGGCAGCTGCGGACAAGGAAATGAACACTGAACCGAAGGAAGGCGAGGAGGTCGAGGAACGAGTTCAAGAATCGGATGAAGGCAAGGAAAATGGGAAAAATGACGGCGAAGATGGTATGTTAATTTTTATTTTTTGGTTTTTGTTTTTTCAGCTCTATTTTTGGTACCCGATGTTCGTTTTTTTGATCGATTTCTTATTTCTGTCTTAAGAGAAACGATGTAAATCAGATTTGGGAGAAAAAATATTTCATGTATGTTAAAATTTTCAAGGAAATAACGTAGGTTTTCGTTTTTATTCAATCTAAATAAAAAAAAGTGGACTTTTTTTTATTTAGGTATTTTTTTTATCGTTTTTCGGATGGAAAAACGAGACGCAAATTTTTCTTTTACATCGAGATACGCTGATTTTGCTTAAAATGAATTTATTAACAAGTTTGGATCAAGTCTCGTTTTTATTCGCGCGAAAATCGCAGTGTGCCTTGGAAACAAAACGTTCAATTGTTATTCTAAACCAAATTTTGACAGTTCAGTTAAATTTTCGTTCACATCACAATTTTTACACGAGAATAAATCGGACTGGCTTCATATTTATTAATCAATAACTTTGGATCACGAAAAACGAGATGCAAATTTTTTCTTTTGCATCGAGATAAGCTGATTTTGCTTAAAATTAATTTATTAACAAGTTTGGATCAAGTCTCGTTTTTATTCGCGCGAAAGTCACAGTTTGCCTTGGAAACGAAACATTCAGTTGTTATTCTAAACCAAATTTTGACAGTTCAGTTAAATTTTCGTTCACGTCGCAATTTTTACACGAGAAAAAAAATAAAATTAAAAATAATAAAATTAAATCCGACTGGCTTCATGTTTATTAATCAATAACTTTGGATCACATCCTGCTTCTCTTCACATGAAAATCACATTTTCAGCTTCCCAAACCTTGACATTTTAGTGAAAATTTAATTGAACTGTCAAAATTTTGTTTAAACAATTGACTGTTCCATTTCCAAAGCACTCTTCATACAAATCGATAATTTGATATTTGAACGAAAACGAAAAAGGAAACCACAACCGTAACAAGACAAACGTAGAGCCGTTGTTACTATCTCCAATTTCTAGGGGTTTCTACGGAACCGACGGAGCACCCCCCACCCCCAGAAGAAGTTTCCGAACTGGAATACCAGCACCACAGCGAGACGGACAACAGCCAGTCCAACGAGGAGGAAGACGACAATTCTCAGTCGTCGCAGGACACCGCCCAGTCGCAGGAGGCCCCCGTCGACAACAGGAATCCGGAGAACATAAACCGGGCGATCCTGGAGGACTGGGAGGACACGGATTCGCAGCAGAGCGAGAAGCAGCGCGCCGCAATGAAGCAGGCGGCGGAGAACGTTACTAAACTGATGGACGACTGGGAGGAGGAGGACGACGAGGACGATAAGAAGGACGGCGATTAGTTGTAGATACGTGAGTGCTTTTTATACGTCTGCTTTGTTTTTTTTCGTATTTTTATAATTAATTGTTTGTACCGACGCGAAACGTTTTTTTTTACTAATTTGATATTTTTGGGGGCGAGCGGGGGAGTATTTCGTTCTGTGGGGGAGACCGGAGCCGATATTTGCAATCGGTCAGTCGGAAGAGTATTTGAAGTTATTCTCGAACGATTTCAGCCAGTTTTTGTGAAAACGGGGAAGAAAGTTTCGGATCTTATTTTTTTAATTAAAAATATTCTCTCTTAAAAAACTTAGGCGTGGCAATTATGAAACACTGCCTTCTCCTCTACAGTTTTCTGCTCCGTCGACGTAATTTCGTTTTCGTGACTAAAATTCTGTTATTTTTTTATTATTTTTCAATATTTTTAATTGAAACTGTTGACCGCTTATTTTTTTTTCCACGTTGAAAAACACCACCATGAAAACTTTATCCGGTAAAGGAAGCTGTACATACTACAAATTATATACTTACGCATCAAATTCATGCTTTTTTATGTTGGTAATTTGTATATACATTTTTTTAAGTTATCATGTGAGGAATATTCATGTCAAATATGTATAATTAGTTAGGGTCTACATATACGTTTTATGTTTGTGTATTTCTAGAATTATTTGCAATAAATAATGTAAAAATACAAGTTTTTTTACTTATTTTTCCCTCGAATTGCCTTAGATTTAACGAGGAATTAAAAAATTGCAGCGAATAGGATGATCTAGTAGAAAAAGTACCGGCTAGATTAAATCGGACACCCTGTACATAGTGTAACTCTGGACGGGGGTCATATAACATAAGCTACGTTTGACCTTTAGAAACACATTCCATAAGTAGCTTTGCTCAAATTCTGTTGTGAAAACTGATTTTTTTTAATCGTCTTCGAATTTACGTATCTTCCTTTCGGACTGGCTAACGTGCTCTCAAAATGCATCGTGAATTCTCATCTTTCTTGATTCGAGTACATTGTTTTTCATAATATTTCACAAAAATTTGACAATGAAGACACATTAGCACAAACAAACAAATTTTATTTCGATTCCAGTAAAAACTAGTAGTTCGTACAGTTACAAACACATCAACGATAGGCATTTATTTTTTGCTATATGTAGTTCACCTAACCCAGGTTAATGTTCAAGGTCATTCAGATTAACGAACTAAACACGGTGCTTTAAAAAAAAATAGTATCAAATAGTTTTTGCTAAAAATTTGGAACGGTTTTAAAAAATATATCAAATCTGTCCGTGTATTTATTTGTTTATTATGCACATTTAATGTATAATACAATTTCTTTGGGGTATTTTTCCGTATTACGGTCGTTACGAGAGCTACAAAGAAATATATTTGAGGCGAGGCCCCAAATGTTTTTTCAAGTGAAATTTTTAAGAATTGCTTTTGAAAAAATAGTTTTACTCAGAAAAAATCAAAATTTTCTAAAAAAAAAATTCTTGAAAGAAAACGTCATTTTTTTGTTTTGCAGGTACCGATCAATTTTTTTTAACTACATTCTGTAATATTTCAACAATAGAACATCCTGTGTGTGAAATATTCATTAAAAAATAATTTTTTATCTAAATTGTAACACTTTTCGTTCCTTTAATTTAGAATTAGGGGAGATGTGGGCACCGATCCCTTAACGGTAGGGGTAAGTGGGGCAATAGTTAATAGTATAAATAACTTCACAACTCAAGTCATGCTTTATTTATATGCGTTATATAAATTTGGTTTATAATAAAACAGGTAAGTACGATTGCAGTTCGCCTCAAAACACGTGTTACTTCTTCTTCTTTGGTTTGAGGGGAGGGTCCAACTCGCACATTCTCCTCAAGAAGGCTGCAAGAAAACAAGGAAAATTAAAAACTTAACGACGATTCCAAACCGTTAAACTAACGTGTGTATTCGATTTGTCCCTCGTCGTCCTCCTCGCCAAGGCAGTCGGTCAGCAACTCGTCCACCTCATCGTCTGTCAACTTCTCGCCTGGAATAAAATCGTTAAACGGATGATTTATTGCACTCTGGAAACGTACCTAGGGTCAACAGGGAGTGGGACAGTTCGCCGGATAACATCAGTCCGTTGGCGTTCTTGTCGTAGAGCTTGAGACATTCAATGAAATCCTCGTAGCAGCCCTGGTCTTTCACCTCCTTCTTCAGTTCGCTTATGATGGGCAGGAGTTCCTCGTATTTGAACTTTTTTTGTCCTAGAAATACGGGAAAGAATGTAGTGTGGGTGAATTACCTATAATTCATATATAAAGCGCCATCTATTAGTTTTCAAATCATTTTTCGATTTAATTAAAGAAAACTGTAATTTCTCACACTTGGGACATGAATTCGCGGCAAATTCGACAGAACTACGGAGGAGGCGACATCTATTATGCTCTCTTAAAATCACTGTCGCAGTGTCAGTTTTACATTCGCTTGTTTTTACATATTTTTACGGCTAGATTCCTTAACTGTCTAGTAGAAAGTTTGTTTTTATAACATGGAGAGCAATTTTAAAGAGGAAAAACCATACATCTACATTAACAAAATAAATAAAGTGACGTTTTCCCGTAAACTTTGACGTTTGTAGATCCTCAGGATCCAGAGGACATCGCGATCGAGGCTCTCATAGTGGTGACAAAACCGTCTCTGTTCATGTCACATGCCGTTTGATTTTATGGTGCCGACCGCGGCGCCACCTAGTACTAGGGGCATTAACCTTCCGTACGTTGGATGGAGCAAGTAGCGCCATCTGTTGCAAATAATGTGCGGCTTTTAGTACATAAGTTTGACTTGCACAGGGTCTTCACCTACCTTCCTTTTCGGCCATTCCGGACTTTTTAAGTCTATCGACGCTCGGGTTAAGTCCACAGCAATACACGAATTTTCCCAACAGGGTGGCGTCCAAAGTGCCATCCGTTTTAAAAACTTCAAAAGCGAACTCCGCACCTGAAAATATCATTCGAATTTAGGACTCCTCCCTTTAAGACAAAACAACGGCGTAGACGTTAGAATTTTGCAGTCAAGTCACTGAAATGTTTCTATATTTTGATATTTAATAGTTGTTGGAAGTAAATTCGAGACGAATAATTTATTTTTTTAATTTAGAAATACGCGTGTCAATTTAAAATAAGTTTATAGAGGCTCAAATGAATCTTTTTCGAAAATTTGAATTTTGTTCGGGTAGTTTTGACAACTTGGCAACACCGACAAGCCACCTCTTTATTGGTTCCCTGTAACGGAAAATGCAAAAACTGCAAAACAAAAACATAATCTGTGACTACGTGTCTGAATAAAAAAAGTGGTTTTAGTAACTTAAAATTTGTTATACTTACTCTCTAATTCTTTAGGTTTTAGGTCCGACTAAAAAAAAAAACAAGAAACGGTATTAACAATAAATAAAAATAATTCAATTCAATAATATTTGCACATCACAAAATAAAAATGTGGTAAAAAATGCGAAACCCATATTTTTTCTGTTTTCATTATTTCATTTAAGTCCTAAAAAGAATGAAAATAATTATTGTGACGTCATTAAGTCAAATACAGTGGCAAATCAAGTGATTTTTTAGATATTTTAGTCTATTGCAGCATTCCAAGTATTAGTAATTACTGATTTATAAATGAAATCGTTGTTTTGGCAAATACCGTTGTATAAATTACTTTACAAGTTTTGCAAACAAAAATCTTCCAAACTGTGACAAATCGCTAGACGTTGCAACAATGGTTTCCTCTCGTGAGGGGTTTGCATCAAAAAACGTATATGAGGTTCTAGTTGAGCTTCCTGTCCATAGATGGCTAAATTATTCGTTTTAGTTTTATATTTGTTTGAAACTTAACAGTTAAATAATTGATTTCATAGAAAAACAAAACAATACAGGGCAAATTTGCTGTCGAATTTAGTGATTTTCGTAAGTTTTCACTTAGTGACATCATACGTGTAAAATAAAATTGCAATTAAAATGAGAAAAATATATAAAAAATAGACATTTTTAAGAAATTAACGTCGCCAACTGTGATAATTCTTTTACTAAAATCTTGAAAAATGTATCGAGCAAAAAACTGGAAATAATGAAACGAATTTTGCAGATTTCTTTCATAGAAACAACTAGACTTTCACATTTTTTTTTTCAATTCAAATTTTAGCTTCTAGAAGTTTTGTCAAAGACCATTCTTCATAAAAAAAAGTGCCAGGAATTGTTTTATAATCCACGTCAAGATCTAAATGGTGTTCATTTTAAAAAATGGGAATAAACTGAGTAAATTCGGGGGAAAAAAAATGTTCCCTCGGGTTATCACAAGTTTATATCGGAAACTTTTATCGTCCACAGCTGTACCTTACAATTAGGACCAACAAATTGAAAACGGCACAGAGAAATGCAAAAAAAATAACTTCACTGACTGGTACTCACCATGTCGACGAACCCGGGGGCGCCCACTAGCCAGCAACTTCTTCAGACGGTGCACTAGAAAGTGAGGCTCGGTCCAAAATAATCCGCGGTTTTATATAGCCCGTCTAATTTAAAATCTATCGGACATCGTTAGCATGTCAAATCCCATTGGCCGTGCCGATCGGGCTATAAAAAATGCGCCTGTAAATTCACACCACTGCAATGCCGGATTAATCGCAACGATAGGGGACGCTTGCCAAAGAGGCGCGGGAACGACGGAAATAGGTCCGCAGGTCATTGTGTCACCGTCGTCACCTGAGATCTCGATCGCATGGACCAAATAATGTGACAGGTAGAAATGGAGTCGATCAAAAGGGCCGGAAAATCGGCCAGTTGCTTCCCTTTCCGTGACGTTTTGTATAATTTAGTTTGACAGCAATTACGTGATAGAAGACTGACAACTCCGTCAAAACTAGCGACTGTTTTCCAAAACCTCCTATTTCAGCATTAAAAGGGCCGGAAAATTTGACCAGTTGCTTCCCTTTCCGTGACGTTTTGTATCATTTAGTTTGACAGCAATTACGTGACAGAAGATTGACAACTCCGTCAAAACTACCGACTGTTTTCCAAAGCCTCCTATTTCAGCGTTAAATGTCATAACCGTTTTTAATTTACACTTGCTTCAAAGTAACAAATTTAATACTCTGTGTCATATATTTGACGAATACCCTCTCAAAGAATTTTACGTACACCGAAAAGGGAGATCTATTTTTTCTTATTTATGATATTCAGGAAAGTTTCAACATTTTCCAGATTGGCAGAGCAAGACAAGAGGCATTATTTTTCCGATATAGGTGGTTGGTAAACTAGTTTTACTAGTGCCTGAATCAAGACCAGGTTATTATGATAACAAACAGTTTTTATAAATAACTAATACCTTGATAAAATACTTTACGCTTACCTTTAAGATAAACTCAAAGATATTTACTATATACACATCGTAAACCTGAAAAAATGCGAGTAAAATGTCTATTTTGAGGGTCCGGAATCGATGGTGTTGACGGAGGTATAACTGCTCTTCTGTATTTACACTAATTATGTAATATTTAGTGGATGGTTTCAATGGAAATATGAAGCAGAGTCGATATACGTAAATCTTGTACCTAGTTTCTTTCGTATTAATTCGATTCGTCAAAGGAAAACTAATATTAAAAACAAACACCTTTAACTTTCTATTCCTTTATTGTTTGTGAGTAAATTTTTTAAATTTTAATCCTAACCCAAGGGTCTCGTAGACAAAAGCAAGTAAACACTTTGTTTACACTTAAATTTTTCTTTTTGGATCGCTTTGGATCCTAATTTCCTTTGCAAATCCATGGAATTTTATTTCAAGGTAATCTACATCCTATCAAATAGGAATCATTTCCAGAAGTCGTCTTGAAGTTACAAATCATGGAGACTATACAAGTAGTGATGGGCCAATCCGAATGAAAAATCGGAAACATTCCGATTGTAAAAATAATCGGAACGTTCCGATTATTCTGATGCCTATTCCGATTATTGCGTTCGGTCAGTATACGCATAGAGAACTGAAAACAGAATTGTAGAATTGTTGTGAAACATTTACTTTCCGAAGTGTGTGTATCGTATCGTCATTTCATAATCGTCTTGTTTAGTTTCATGGAAATCGTAATTATCGGTTTAAAATGTAGCCATTAGATGATTAGCATTTTGAATTGCTTACCTACCAATGTATTCCGCATGTGTGTTAAGTAAATTCTGATATGTAGAAAAACAAAGACATGTCATAATTATCTTCAATAATGTGAATCAATAAAAACGTTAATTGCAAATTAAGAACTGAAATACCTAATGTGTACAATAACTTACTAATTAAATTACTGGCTTTCACTCACATAAAAAGTAAACAAAATAATATAAATACGCAAAATAAGCATTATTTTATTTAACAATTAAATAACTTCTCAAAAATAAACACAATTAAAATATAAATATGCAAAATAATCAACTATATTTTATTTAACAAATTAAAACGTTTTATGAAAAATCAGTGCTATTTTCAAAATTCAGAGGGGTGGCACGTGGCACGTGTTAGGAATAAAACTCGAATAAAATGTTGCCATTTCTTTCGATATAATACACTTATACTCGTATTAAAAAATTAACATCGGGTAAATATGGAATGTAAAATAATCGGATGGTATTCCGATTGTAAAAAGATTCCGAGTGCCAATATTCCGATTATTCGAATCATCCGATTATGCCCATCACTATATACAAGGAGGCCAAACTCCATGTAAACAAAAATCTTACAAAAATAAGAGGGCGCTAGTGTTCCATATGTCCCATATGTAGAGAGGGGAGATAAAAAGCGGCAGTTTGAATTATAAATCAATCATGTCATTTTTGTAATGTGTTAAAAATTTTAAAATAAATAATGTAAGCTACTTTGAATTATATAAATCATGAAAATATGTCATTCCGGACTGTAATTAAACTAAATAGATAATAAAAAATATTAGCTTTATGAGAAGAATTTGGTGTTCGTAGAAAGAAACTAGTTTTCAAGGAATTTATGACGTGATCTTGTTAATATTAACCTATAAGTAAGGTTTATGTTTTTGATAATTACTTTGTTAAAGATTTTAGTTTAATGTTAGTAAAAAATAGTCACATTTTATACAGGAAGTTGCCTTTAAAAAAATAGTAATTCTTGTATTATTAATATGGAATTTTTACTTGTGGTAATAAAAAATAGAATATAAAAAAACTCGGTGTTTTAAATAAACTTTTTAAAATATTACAGATGTCCGATTTTGAGTCCAGTGATTCAGATGACTTATTAGACGCATTGTCCAGCTTGAGTGATGATGAAATAGATTTACTCTAAGAAACAGAAAGAGTAAAAAATAAGAACTACTTTGAAATTACTGTACCTGAATATAGTGGCCAAGTTTTTTTAACATTTCCGTGTTAGCATATGGGAAGTAGCTAACAGAATTGAAGAAAAATTTGCCATTTCTAATTATTTCACCCATGATTCTGGTAAATTTTGCATTGCCTTAAGCTCTACAACAACCAGAAAAGTTACATACTTGCTAAGTAACTTGTCTCCACAAATTATAGAATGGCCGAGATAATGAGGCAGTTGTAATCGAACAATATTTTGCCCAATATGAATTTCCAGAGCAGGTTATAGGAATAATTGATGGGAAAGGAATTCATATAAGATAGAGTATATCACAATCCATATTTTTTTTAATAACCAATAATATACTATATTATAGTGTAACTGAAAACTGACTATGGAAAGTCGATAAATTATGGTTGGACAATTTCTAAGCTGATTGCCATGTTGTCGGTTTAGACTTCTCAATGCTTCGAGAGTCATATCGCTCTCTTCTCAAAATGTCAAGAAGCTTAAAACAACATGACAACCAATTGATACCAAAATTTTAACAAAATATAGGTACTCCATTATAAAGGTCACAAAAAATAGGTAATCTAAATATTTTATAACTGTTTAAAATCGATTAGTTTTCTGGGTATATATTTTAAAATTGCTGTAAAATTTAATTCTACTTTCGTAAAATTGTTGATTTAATTCGAACGTAACATGGTTCCATGACTTATTCCAAGGTAGAGTATAGACCAAAATTAATAAGGTATTATAAAGAAATATTTTAGCAATGTTCTATATTTTTGTTATATATTTTGTAAAAATAAAATGTTTATCTACCAAAGATTTCAATGTTTTATTAATTGAATAAAAAAAACGAAATTATTTGTGCCTAATTAAAATAAAATAAATATTTATTCATAACAAACAAGTAACAAAGTAAATATATATTACAAATAAAACAACTTAAAAATAAGTAATACGTGTCAGTCTATCTTCTTAAAATTTCATTTTGTTCATGAAGCAATTGATTTCCATGTTTAAATATTTAGTAAAAGTAGTCAATTACCAATACAGATCGATCAGCATCAATTACTACACGTATCCTCTCTTTAAATTTTATATGATATCTGAATTTCAATCAGTTTTTTACTAACAGGAAAGAAACAGCAACTAATTGGAAATGATTTATTCAATTCAGTAATGATAATAGCGATGTCACCAGCAAGAATTATATGAAAGATACGAATTTAATTATTTATGCACGTAATATAAATTACAAGAATATGTAGAAATAAATAAAGTATACTTTGTTGCTATTGTCAATATTATGTGAACATATTCATAGTTGCTTTGTCGAGACCTCATCACACGTCAACAGAACTTTTCTTTTATTAGATTATACAGGACAGGATGCTCACTTTCTAGTATAATCTCATCGTAACTTAATTGCTCTTGATTTACTTGCTGTTCTTGTTGTTGTTGTTGTTGTTGTTGTTGTTGTTGTTGTTGTTGTAACTGTTGCTCTTGTTGTAGCTGCTGCACCTGTTGTTGCTGGTGTAGCGGATGCTCTTGCTGTTGATGCTGCTGCAAAATATATAAAGAAACAATGCATCATTCAATTATACAATATTTTCACTTATGAAATCTTTCTATTTAAAAATTTCTCTACCGTATTAAGAATCAAAGAAGCTGCTTCCAACTTCCGAATTATTCGACCTTTTGCCATAATATTAACCCACTATTCGGTCAAGTTGTAATATAGAACTGCTGGACATCATTAGATTGAAAATGCAGATCACAAACGTACTGTTTTATTTTAAATCTGTTGACAGTCATTCACTTCACATACTATTACCATATTTAAATTATTTTCGAAACTTTTTATTTACCATTTATAAAAACAAATTGTAATAATTATTGACTTGACTTCTAGTTTTTAGGTTAGTATACCTCCCCGCTCCCCAATATATCTACTAAACTCGATATAAATAAAATAAAATTGGTTATTTGCTTACTTCACTCGTATTTATGAAGCTACATTCATTTGGGTCATATGGAACACTAGCGCCACCCCAACTTCTGCCATTTCTTGGACAAATTTTGTCAAATTTTCCGTATGAGTTCGTGCTCCTTATCTAGTCTCCCTGTTACAAATTATTATCTCATTTGTATTTAA